TTCCTTGCCTGCAATTCCCAGTCACCATCTGCTGTACAACCACAGAGCCTTCACCCAGACCCAAGACTCCACAGATGTATAACCCTCCCTCTGCTAACCACCACTTGTGACCTATGGGCCTACCACCTCCTACATCAGGCTTCCGAGCAGCAAACATCGCCCGAGAGCTTTCCTGCCTGTTTTCAGATCACACCCAAGTCCTTAAACAATACTACTCAAAGCTTGCTAGCCTGAGGGACTCCAGAGGAATGGAGTCAATCCTGGTTAGGCTCGCCTCTCCTGGTTGTTACTGGAATTCTGGGCTTGGTTGTAGGTGAGGTATTCTGACCCCTTCCCACTGCCCCACCCCTTCTCCTGGTCACAAAGTATTGGAGATTCACTTTTCAAATTCTAGGGGTTATATAAACCACCTGGGTGTCCTTCTGGCGTAACTACAGATTTGGGTTCAGAAGGTCTGGGATAAGGCCAGAAATTCTGCATCATTCTTTTTCATTTTTTTTTGTTTTTTTTTTGTTTGTTTGTTTTGTTTTTCAAGACAGGGTTTCTCTGTGTAGCTTTGGAGCCTATCCTGGCACTCGCTCTGCAGATCAGGCTGGCTTTGTACTCAGAGATTTGCCTGCCTCTGCCTCCCGGCTGGGATTAAAGACGTGCACCACCAACGCCCAGCTAGATTCTGCATTCCTGACAAGCTCTGGAAGACACTGCTGGTTCAAGGGGGAAGTGAGAGTAAAGTACTTTGTGTCCTGAAACTCAGGTGGGAGCCGAGTCTCTCTTGTCTGCAGCAGAGGGTCTCCACATACATATCAGATTCAATTCAAGAGCTCCAATCTAGTCAAGTCTGCTCTAGGCCAATGAAGTCAAAGTTCCTGGCTGGGGGGATGCAAGCACTAGGAGTTTTACATTTTCCCCAGGTGATCCCAGTGTAGAGTCCTTGACCTACAGTGTTTGACGACAAGGCAGTGAAGCTCAGATCTGTCCATGAGGCTTCACTACCCTTGTTATTATTTCCTTTAAAAAAACAAAAAGACAAAACAAAACAATCTTTTGGGATGGAGAGATGGCTCAGAGGTCAATAGAACTGGTTGCTCTTCCAGAGGTCCTGAGTTCAATTCCCAGCAACCACATGGTAGCTCACAACCATCTATGAGATCTGGTGCCCTCTTCTGGAATGCAGGCAACATGCAGATAGAGCACTCTATACATAATAATCTTAGAGAAGAAACCCTGAAAACAAAAACAACCCCCCCCCCCCCCCCCCCCCCCCGACTATGCTTATGGAGTCTGGGGCTAAGGGGTTTAAAACAGTATCTCAAAGATGATACTTGCCCAGCCTCTTCGAAGGCTTCACACCAGGTGGGCTTCCTTTTAAAGAAATCTCATTGCCTCTACTTTCAGCTGCTTTGCCCTTTGCTGGACACCCTCCTCAGGAACTGTAATTACCAGCTGGCTTATCAAGAGCCCATCAGGTCTCTTGACATTGCTAAAAGACCTCCTAGTCCCAAGAGCTGCACGGTCTTGTCAGAAATCTGAAGATGATACACTTGGCTGATGGCTAGCAAGTACTCTCCAACCACATCCCATTTTTCTGCTGTTCATCCATGCTATTCTTCCAACCCGATGCACAGATCTCTGTAGAGATTTGTTTCTACTCACTCGGGTCTTTACTTCCCTTGCTCAGGACCACAGCGCCTCCTTGTTCCTGGTGCGCAGACACTCCCCTTCCTATGTCTGGCTCCAGAGTCCTGTTCCACAGTTCTCCCACCAAGCAAGGGATGGCACGAGATAGACGTGTAATCTGTACTTACAGGCTTACAACTCAAGACTAACGCACAGTTGTTTATATGTGCAGTTTGATTGATTCTGTCACCATGTGCTGGCTACCTACTGTGTGCCAGACACGATGCATATTTTATCCTACATTTTATCCTTGTAACACCCTAAGAAGGATTACAACCCGCCGCCCCCCCCCCCATCTCACAACCGAGAAAACCAATGCTAGAGAGATTTACTATGTCACTGTATGGTGCTTCACATTCAAACTCTTAAGAAACCTGCCTTTATTCAAGTGAAAAGGATGCAAATCAAACAAACTCTAACACCAGCCTAGGCTGGAACTAGGAGTGAAGACCCCAATACCAGTACAAACTTCTTCAGAAGTGTTAAACTTACTGCCAACTCAGAAGCAACCACCAGCCCCTGGAAAGCCATCTTTAATCTTCAAATCGGAACTAATGAGTCCAGGGATTCTGGCACACCCTTCCCAAAGCCCAATGGGGAAAAAGAAAGCCAAGCAGACAAGCAAAAGGAATAGACAAGATAAGGTCCCCCCTCCATGTCCACCACCCTTATAGGATGGTACCAAGTAGCTGTAAGCAGACAGTGTAAAAGAAACCCCAAAGGCAGTCGGGAGAGTGGAGTCAGGATGGATGGAGTTAAGGATGCTGAGAGACTAGAAACTCAGGGGCACAGATGAAAGCGTATGGTAAGACTTCCGAGGCTCTAGAGATCGAGTATCCCCCATACCTGAGGAGTCAGCTCCCCTCCCCCAAAGTCCTCCCCAGTCCTGGGACACTCTCCTACTGCTAAGCACTTTGAAGATCTAATGATTAAGGTCACTGCGGTCCCCTGGGGCTGTTAAACACTTTGCTCAAGCAGAGTCTCTCATGCGCATCTCAGCCTGTGAATGTGCCAGAGACAAGCCCATTAGACAAGTGTTGTCTGGATAGCAGTTCCTGGGCTTTCAAGCCTTTAGGACCAGGTTGCTTTTGTTTTTGTAAAGAGCCACTAGTTACCTTTTTAAAAAAAAGTAAAAGACCAAACAAAGACAAAATAACAAAACTCTTCAAAGTTTAAATATCAAAGAGACGGCATTCACCTTTGGAGCACCGCTCTTTAAAAAAGAAAGTTAGGATCATCAAGACCGTGGGTAAAGGTGCCAGCTGCAAAGCATCAGAAGAAAACAGACTCTCAAGTTGTCGTGACTCCCACGTATGCACCTCGGTGCAGAAAGACACGAAAACAAACATAATGAAATAGCTAGCTTTAAGAAAAAACTCATTCCACTGTCCCCACACTACACTTTCTCTAGAAACTGGGGCCAGCCCTGGTCCACAGACCTACATGTGGACCTTCTGTCCTGGGGTATCATAGGTTGTCTGTCCAACTACATTTTTACCTGGCCCTAGGGGCCTAGAGTAGCTGCCAACCATAGCAAGTTCTGCCGCCACCCAGGTCCACGGGATCTTTACCATGACCATCTAGCAGCCTGGCCAGCAGCTTATGCAGGAGGATGACAGGCCCTGGCCTCATTCCCAGCTCCTTTCATTCAGGTATGTCCCACTGTTGCCAAAAAAACAGTACTTAACGCCATCCACAAGGGCCACCAAGAATATCTAGCCCACAGGGGTTCGGCATCTTTACCCTTGTGACTTGTCAAAGAAGTGTAGAGAGATACTGGGCCAGAAAAAGGGAGTGCCCCGTTAAGAAGGAGGAAATGAAGGGATCCCGCCATGCAGCCTTCAGTTCTCACAAGCAAACTCCAGTTTATACCTATCTCCGCCTCTAGAAAATGACCTGCGGAGCACAGGGTGAGCAGCCTGTGCCCAACACTAGCAGCATAAATGGCGCTATTATCCCCAAGGCTGGGGCAAGGGTGGGGGGCAGCAGACCTGATTCAGGTCTGCTTTAGCTGGTCAAGGCAAATAGGGAACAGAGACTGTCGCCCTTAAGTCATGACTTATGGTGTGACCAAGTGGACAAAGTGTCAAGGGACAGAACCACCCCAGCAGAATCCACTTCCTGGCCTATGACCCCTAGCACTTAGAGATTTCTTCCTAGCCAAAGCCCTACCAGCTTGAGGACCGACCTACATTCAGCAGTCAGGAAAATCCCAAGTGTGGGCGGGTGGACGGCATACTTAGTCCAGCCACAGGTGACCTTATGCTCAGAGCACAGCAGCTCCTGGCCAGCTGAGGGGGCTTTGAAGACCATCAAGGACAACTCCATTCCCCCACCCCACCCCCCTAAAGGACAGGCCCAGAGGGGCAGAATAGTCTAGGCTCCTGGACAAATTAGTGGCAAGGCTGGGAGCCCTGCACACAGCGTAGGCCTCTGTCTCTGTCCAGCGCCAGTTCCGCTGCCTGGAGCAACTTCAGCGGCTACATGCTCCGCCTAAAATCTGTTCTATTCGCTGGTCCCTACTTTTGCCAACTCTCTGCCGTTACAGCTGCCACCAACCTCATATAGAGTGTTCACACCATAGTAGGAAGGAAAGAAACCCAAAACAGGGTCACGGCCCCTCCATCCTTCCCTCCACGCCCACTGTGGCTGCTCTCATCCCCCGTCTCTGTCCATATTCTACCCTGAATACTGGGAGTCCTTGACAGTATCTCAAAAGCACATCATTCATTCATAAATTGGTACCCAGTGACTACTTCCCCACCAAAATACTATGCCCAAAATTCTTTGGCCCCACAAAGCATCCCATAACATTGAGAACCCCAATCATGTGTCTCACTAAATTCCCCGTTTGAGGAAAACAAGCACCTAAGTAAAGGTGTAGGGAAGAAACTACCCCATTCCATCAGGACAGCACAAAAGTCAACCTGTCACCTAACGCTTTCCCTCTAAATTCATCCGCCTCCATCGCCAGTGCCTCATTGCCACCACAGCTGCCCACACCACCCACCTTAAACCCACCTGAGGCTTCAAACAGGAAGAGAAGCTTCTAAAGCTCAAGCTAGACATCTGTCCTGCATCAATTATCAACATCCAGGAGGAGGATATTGGCTCTACATGCTCTGCAAGGGACTTACTCTCATACAAACCATCAGCCTGGAAAAGGAACCCACTGGGCTTCCAACAACAGGCTGTGCTCCAAAGGAGACCAAGCGACCAGAAATTGGAAGGACAGCTGTAACTAGATGAGTCTTTTAAACCAGACCCTCATGATGACAACGCCCTCAAACATGGGTCGGGGAGCCTAGCAGAGGCCCGCTTACCTCCTTAAGAAGCCCCACTTTTTTCTTCAGCACCTCACACTTTCGAAGTTTGCAGATCTGGTGCGTGCGGCGATTGGTGCAGCTGGTGCAAGACCCACAGTTTTCCAGCCGCCGGCAGGGCTCACAGGTCCCGCACCTCTTTCTTTTCTTCCGCCCATCTCCACCCCCTCGCAGTTGAGTCTCACTCCCGGTCATAGGAAGCCCAGGCCCCTGGAAGCCCCCTACCATCACCTGGCCCTGTGGGTACTCGTAAAGGCCTGGCAGGTCCGGCTGGACCGCCAAGGGCACCTGAAACTGGCTCATGATGCTGTCGTTGCCAGGGAAGGGAGCATAGGTGCCAGGTTAAACTACTGTCCAGTCTCCTGCTGCCTGCAAATGCCACCAACAGGTCCTTCTCTCCTAAACAAGTCTACAAGGGTGAAGGCAAGGAGCTTCCGCCTCTGGAATGGGTGCCTCTTCTTAAACCCTCTTCACCTCCTCTGCAGCCGGCAGCCAGGGCTCCTTCCAGGACCAGTCTCCCACCTGCAGGGCCCCAGGATCAGGGGCAACACAGTAGCAGCAGCAGCCCCCAGGAAAGGTTTCATCTTGGCTGGGTGGGTTCTTCACCCTCACCCACCCGGGGCTCAGGCATGAGGTGAGCCAATGGGTGTGTGGTGGGGCAGATTAGGGTGAGGAGTTTCCTCCTGACACTTCTCCCTCCCTGGGTCAGGATGATGGAGAAGGCTACTCTGCCTGAGGGGGGAGAGACACAGAAAGGGGAAGCACATCACTCGGGGCTCAGGGACAACTTTCACGTGTTATCTCTTCCTGCTTCTGGGAAGAGAGAAAATGGGGGACGCCAGGGTCTGAGTCAAACGAAGTCATTAGAGCCTCAGATGGACTAGCGGTGGGGAAGTGAAGGGGGGACCGTTCAAGGGAACGAGGGGTGCTCAAGGTGGGATTTCTGAGAAAGTTGCTTTGTGCACCCCACCCCACACGTTTTCCACTGGCTTGTAAGTTTCATTAAAATCCAAGCGAAACCCCTCACTGGGGGGCCACAGGACCTTCCCCGAGGTAACAGCTTGCAAACTAAAGTTTGCAGAGGCTCGCTCATTGGAGTGGATGACACCCCAAGCACCGAGGCGGCCTGGAGGTGGGGGGCGCGCCCATGGGGAGTCTTGAG